GATATCACCTAAATAGGTAACATAATATATGTCACTAGTTAATGCTTTTCAATTCTTTAGTATAGGGAGACACAGGCAAAATTTTCATTTCTACGATTTGATTTTTTCTTTCAATATTCTATAAATGTCTTTGAAATGAAAACACTAAGCAGTCAGAGGGGAAAAAACTTTTCTCTTTATAAAAAATAAAATGGTGTTTCCCAACTTGACGTGGGTGTCAGGTTATAGTATTTAGACTTCAAAATAGCTGTTATAGAGAACTACGAAAACGTTAAAGTATCTGTCAAATGATTTATTAATGAATGACTAATACTTATTATATCTAACAATATTTAACCAGAATATCTGTAATTGTAATTTCCAGAGGGTTTTCAAATTATATGATTTTTTTTAAACTACTCGGTGACTCTGTCGGCGTCTTAATTTCGTTCAATATAATTATGAAAATATATTTAAGCTTCAAATCCAAAATAATCTATATAGCATTTATACAGAAATTCATGCTAAAACTTTAGAGAATGACATTTCAAATAGCATGATTTGAGTAAATAACATCAATTTACTATTTTTGGCATTCATTTGTCTAAGTTTACCTTAAATTAATTCTATAAAAATATACTTTATAGATACTAACTTCAAACTCCTCCTCCATCTTATAAACTTTCCTCAAATTCCGATGTAGGTTAACTTTAAAAACTTCAATAACACACGATAAAAAGCATTTCCGTGCGTACATGTGTTTACGCAAGAAGAGCGACATCATTTAAATCGCTGTAGTGCACATTTATTGGCGTCTAATTAAGACCGTTTTTCAAGCGTCGTGCGTCAATTATATTTATAAGGAGGATTTAGCTATTGCACTATTTACAGATGACATTCACAGGGACACTGTTGTGTTCAACATTTCCGGTTGAAATTTACTGAAGATTCAAAGGCATGTTGAAATTGTTTACTGCTTTATTCTAAAATTCTATGTCCATTTCTAGTATGTGATTTGGGTACTATAGTCTGTCCCATCAAATTTGAACATTCCATTTTTTATTTAATATAATAGTAAAATCATTAAATTAATGTCATCTTAACCCTGACGTCAATATCTCTAGGCATGTTTTTCATTTTTTTCATAAAGTCAGTAATATGGTCGAAATGTTAAAATTATATTTTTCCCCGTTGACTTACGTTGTAACCTGACGTGACGTCCATTTCAAAATGGCGGCGCCCATATAGACGTCATTTAGGGTTCGTCTCACAATTACGGTGAAATGTACTCGTTAATTATACAAATTTGATTATATTTATTTACTTACTGATCAATAGCTAAATGTTATCATTAAAATGAAAAATGAGAACAAAGTTGGTGTCAAAAAGGCAATTTTACTAGCAAACTATTATTAAAATAATCAAAATCATTTAAAGCTAAAATATCGCTAACCGCTTTATAAATTCTTACACACAAAGATTAAATTAATAACCATGATAAACTGTCGTAATTTTTAAGATAAAAAAGAACAATGAAGTGGTTTGATTAGATAGCTTTCCAGTAAAAAGCGTATCTTACCGCAGATTGTCGTAGGGAGCGGGAACACTAGCTAGAATATAATAAACAATATCAACAAGGAAAGGCGGCGTTCAATGAACGTAACCCCCACATGACCCAGCTAGAAGACTATAAAAAATGGTTCTTTGCTAATTAATGTTTAATTTACACAATTCTTTAGTTGTCTGAATTCTGTCCATTAGTATGTATCACTTCTATTCAGAAATAATTAAATTGACCAGGTTCGATGGGATACAAGAATATGTTACCCTTCTTATTTCGGGTGCGATGTCCGTGCGCTAAAACTTTCCGTATGTTTCAACTTTCACAAAAAATCGCCAACAAATACTACTTTATCATGCAAATCTGACAAGAAATATATAGAAAGGAAAACTGATTCACTATACGTTCAGAATTGTTTTGCTTGTTACCACAGTTTCTTCTTTAACTAACTCCCTGGCTAATGAGAGAACACAGACTCGCGTTCGAGGAAAATGTTAAATTATAAGAATATATATAATATCATGCTTTCTAGTTTGAGCAATCAAACGTAGGCCTATACACTTTAAGTTTGTAAATACAAATTTAACTTCCCGTCTCACAATTCAACAAAATGTCAGTGATTTCACTGATTTGATATTATTAAGAATGAGTTTGAATAAATTGAATTGGAGTGTTCAATAAGCGACAATAAGTGTGTTTTTTAGACTCAAAGTGTTACATATAATTATTATGTTAATATGAAGGGGAGATCGAGTCAAAGAGAAACACCGAGTGACTTTCTCAATAATTTTAGCCTTCCTAAAATTTAAAAATATTCAGTGGAAACACAATAGATCTAGCAAATTTTAGCGTGAGAAAAATACGGCATATTGAATATTTTGTAGCTAAAATAGTAGGATTTACAGAAGTCATGAAAAACGAGATTATATGTAGGGGAATTATTTCTGAGAAATATGTAAAATAGTTTAAAACATAAAATCAAAACTTAATGGAAGAAGTATTGTACTGTTGTATATAAATGTCATTAAGTGTGCTTAAAATTATCTAGATGATCTAAATGTTATCAAAAGTTTTATTATTCATATATGAATTGAAGGTGTATTTTTTACAGTTAAGTTGCAAAATCTGGGTAGGCCTATACAAAAATTATTTTAAATTCCATTAAGACAAATTCATCTCAACGCTTAAAGGGAGACACAGGCAAAGTTTTCATTTCTTAATTTTGAAATTTTCATTCATTATTCTGTAAATGTCCTCAAAATGAATACACTAAACAGTCAAAGGAACAAAACTTTTCTCCATATAAAGAATAAAATGGTGTTTTCCTAACTTGACCCGCGTGGGTCAGGTTAGAGCGCTAAAATTTCACAATAGTTGTCACTCTGTACTCTGGAAACGTTAAAAAACATGTCAAATCAATTACTTAGACTTGTTTCAATCATACAATATCCACAATATTTGTTATTGTAACTTCCAGGGTTTGTTCAAATCGCATGACTTGTTTTTAAACTATTCGGTGATTCTGTTCGCGTCAAAATTTCGTTCAACATATATAGATATATTTAAACTTCAAACCCAAAATATATAAAATTTATACAGAAATTCATGTTGGGACTTTAAGAAATGTCATTTTAGGGTGATTTGAGTACAGAAAATCATTTTTATATTTTTGCCATTATTTTGCCTGAGTAATTATCTGTTTGAGGTTACATAATGCCTAGCCGCTCTCTGTCAATGCCGCAACTGGAATCGCGAGGCATTTTTGTTACGTCATATATTTCGTAAACTGTTGTTGAAGTAATAAAGTTTCGTCTGGAATCCATTTTCAAGAGTTATAAGCATTGTGATGTTGACAACTAAAATTGATGGGCCGTTCTTGAATTATGGTAGTTCTGGCTTCCAAAACTTTATAAGCCGCTTTTTAACATTTTTGTTTTTCATCAGATGCGGCATAAAAGTTTTGGATTAGACCCGTTACGAAACCTAACCAGAATAACCTAAGTTGATTTATTCTTGTTTTTCACTTGCAAATACACTCGATCCGATCAATTCTTGTGCATTTTACGGTAAAATAATTATTTAAATATCGTTTTATACCAATTCAAGTAATAAAATATTAATACCGTCATTAAAATTGCCTATTTAACTGTAAAACATCAATTTTCGCCGACTACAGTCGGCCATGACATTCAAGTGTCACGCGAGACCTCGTATGACGTCATTCGCGGGAACAGATTTGAATAAGTAGTGTACTATATTTAGAACATTTTGTTGACATGATTTCGATATTTTTATTCAAGATAATGTTTTTTTTTATTTTCATAAATTTTTTAGTATTTAAATATGATTTTATTGAATATAACAGTCAGTAAATAACCTTTTTCAACATCTTAAAAAAAGTAATCTATAAAAATATTGGAGGCACATGGGTTCATAAAGGTCAATCTCGTAATCACGTGGTCAAACATTTTGGCAATATGGCGGCCAAGTGCCGAAATTTTTACCTGTCGGAAAGTTCCGAAACTATTAGGTAGTTTATGTTCCTAATAAGATTTTTATTTGTCCATCCTTGGCTTATCAACAGATTATATATCGTTTTATCAAGGTATGCTTCACTTTACTTCGTGGCATGTTCGATAAATAAATACGAGCGTGTCAGATTCCTGGCACGATTATTGGTGGACTTTCCCTACGGGGTTATCTTCAGCGTTCACGTCATGTCATATATATAAACGGGTACGCTGAAGACCTTAAGCTAGAATTATGGATTTGGAACATAATGGATTATGATGTGTTTCATTTACATATTTCATTTGCTAACCCAGATAACTCCACAAATTGAACAATGTTTTAATAATGAGACGGATTAACAGTTTAAAAATCTGGATCATCATAAGTGTAGTCCTGAGTCATGTCATTTAGGAGTTTCGAAGTAGAAAAAATCGGATATACGGAACTGGATAGATACTGGCAATGAAAGAATCTTCAGAAGGGACGTTTATAAATATCTATTCCGAAATTCATAGGAATTCTATTCAGCTTAAAAGTAAGTGTAGATCTAATTTCTAGATATTTTATCCATTTGACTCGGTGTTCTTGTTGCTTATTTTTCTTTTTTTTTTTTTTTTTAAGTTTTTCATCATGCATTGCAACTAAACTGTTACATCTTGTAGATCCAGCTTTGTAAAATAATCATGAAACGACCCCGAGAACCTCATGTATATTTTAGAAACATGACACGTGCTTTCTCCTGTTCATCTTCAAATGCAATGGCTACGGAAAATAAACAACAGAGATTTTCCATAGAGAAATCAAAATTTGCTTTCACAAGAAAAGTAGACATTTTAGAGTAAAATCCTGAAAAATCTCGAGGGTGACTTTTTTTAGTTTACAAAAATAGTTAAATTTTTATTCAACCTCGTTTTGTTAATTCACACCAGGCAAAAGTTCATTTCCATTTTTAATGGGACAGACTATAGTACATGTACTCACATTGTGGAGTTAACACAAACTTCTGTCCACCGTAAGGGACTGATGTTGAACTTTGACCTTGAACGCATTCATTAGGGTACACGGTAGCTTTCACCTGACTGCTCGAACTCACGATTACCTGTAAATAACATACAAGTCTATAATTATTATAATATATTTTAAATATGTGTTTTTTTTTTGTATAAACTCCTTTGTCAATAAATTTCAAAATGAATGACCAAAGTTTTTAGCAAATTATCATTGTATTAGTAATTGTATTTCATTCTTATTGAAAATGTGTGGCTAAAAGAAATATTTAGTTATATTTATGGATATTATCATGTTGCATTTGACTCATGTTTGAATAGAATGTATTAGAATACGTCAGTTATACATAATAATCTGTGCTGTAATTAGCAATCGGAAATTCCGTCAGGTTACGGATGTTGCGTATTTGTTGCTACGTCATTTCCGGGTCTAAACGGAAGGCCGGAAATGGAAAATAAATGAGATATGGCGGAGGCTGATCACGTGATTGCCGAATTATGTCTTGTTTTGAAGGATGTTGCACTTATTCATCATCCCTCATGTACAGACTAAATCAAGCCGAGTCTGCAATTTTCACGGTTACACGACTTACCGGAATCGGCCGAATTACCGGAATCGACCGGAATCGGCGGTGAATTACCGGAATCGACCTGTAACTTTGTAATAATTAAACTTTTTAAGTTTTTTCTTGCAATTTTATAAAATATAAACAATATCAATGATTTATGAAAAGATTTTTATAAATAAAAACGCTTTTGATTAATTTAACAAGAGATCTAATATCGGCGAGCTACTGCCAAACTGCCAGTGACCGGAATCGGCCTGTTATTTCGTTGTTTATGCAACTTTTAATGTTCCTTTTGCATGTTTTTATAAAACCTAAATATTATCATTAATCTTCCTAGAGATTGTGAAAAAAATCGCTTTTAAATAATAATAATAAACAAATATTTATGATCAGCGAAAACGGGCAAACTGCCGGAATCGGCAAAGGATTACCGAAATCGGCCGGTAATTTGCTTATCTTTATACTTTAAACAAAATGTTTGCACCCATGATTATAAATAAACAATAGCAATAATATGTAATCAGATTATTGTCAATAAAATCACTTTTTATTAATTAAACAAGATATTTAATATCGGCGAGTTACTGCCATACTGTCGGAATCGACGAAGGATTACCGGAATCGACGTATAATTTAGTCTATTGTACATTTTTAACGTTTCTGTTGCATTGTTAATATTCGTCTTATAAAATATAAATATTATGAATGATATTTAAAAGTTTCTTTCATTCTTTTATTTTGTAAATTTCAATTCGCCTTTGATGAATAAAGCAAGAGATCGAAGATCGGCGAGTTACATATACTGTCATACAGCCGAAATAGCCGAATGATTACCGGAATCGGCCTGTATTATTGTAATTTATGGACTTTGCAAGAAAAAAATGAAAAACAATATCATTGATATCTAAAAAGATTTCTGAAAATGAAGAATCCTTATTAAATAAATAAACTAGAGATCTAAGGTCGGCGAATTACTGCCATATCGCATATATGCAGTTGTCAGGGCTATCGGACAATTACCGGAATCGGTCTGTTTTTTCCCCCACCAATATTTCAACGTTTAAAAAATAACCTTGAATTATTTTATTAAATACAAACACAATATAAACGATTTTTATAATGTTTTATTGAAATCGGTATTAAATAAGAAGCAAAAGATTTATGAAAAATCGCTGTTATATAATAATAAAAAGATTAATATTGAAGATCGGCAAAAACGGGAAACCTGTCGGAATAGGCGATGGATTACCGGAATCGACCTGTAATTTGGTTATTTGTGAACTTTTTAAATATTTCTTTTGCATGTTTTTATAAGATATAAACATTTTCAACGATATTCATTTTTGTAAGTAAATTCGCTTTTAATTAATAAAACAAGAGACCTAAGATCGGCGAATTACTGTCATACTGCCGATATAGGGGAAGGATGGGCGGGATCAGCCTGTATACTATAGTTTTTTTTATGTTATTATATTAAATGCAAATAATATCATTGATATAAAAAGATTTTTTATGAAATAAAGGTCACTTCTTATTATAAACTAGATGTCTAAGATAGACTAATTACTATCACAGTGCCTGAATTAACAGGTAAATACCGGAATTAGTCTGTTATTTTGTTATATTTCAGCGTTTTAAAAATATCTTGCCATATTTTATTAAATACAAACAATTCAAATGATATTTAATAATATTTATTGTAATCGCTATTACATAATAAACAAGGTGATCTATGATTTCTTCCATACTACCGAATCGACGAGCGATTACCGGAATCGGCTTCACTTCGTCTAGGATTACTGGAATCGATTCTAATTTTGTTATGAACGTGAACTCAATATTATTATTATCATTTAGTTTTGCATGTATTTACAAACATTATCATTGATCTTTTATGGAATAATGCAATATCGTCTTTACATTATATTTTTCAGGACATTGCTAACAGAGGATTGTTTGAAATGACGGATAACAATGGGCCAGTTTAGTCTTTCTTTATGTTTGCAAAACTCAATTCTTGATTTCATAAAGTAGTCGATTTATAATTACATGCAATAATTTTTATTTGAATCTTTATTTAAACAATACAAACCTTATAAAATATTCACATGAAATCAATGTTTTACCAGGCAGTTACTTGACAGTTCATGGTCATTCTGGAGTATCAAATCAATTGTCGTCATTTGCGTTATTGGTGCACCATAAAAATATTACAAAGGATGCGAATAAGTCAATCGTTGAAACATAGATTATTTAGTCTTAAATAGTAAACAAATCATCTATACCCGTAAAGTATAAAACAGTGAGATATGGATGTTAACTATATACGCACAGATGATACTGTCACTTTATTGGAAGTAAACGAGCTGTATATTGGGAGCTGTGTATTGGGAAGTGTGATATACTACAAAACAGTGGGGTGCCAATATACGGTATGCTGATATATTTCATAGTGGGAGGGTCTGTCTGTTACAGAAAGCGTGTTGTTTCGGGGAATGATTACCGGAATCGGCCTGTAATTTTGTTATTTATGAACTTTTAAAAGAAATCTTGCATCTTTTATAAAATATAAACAATGTTAATGTCATGTAAAAATATTTTTATAAATAAAAATCGCTTACGATTAATTAAGCAACATACTTAAGATCAGCTAGTTACTGTCATACTGCCGGAATCGAGGAATGATTACCGGAATCGGCCTGTAATTTTGTTATTCATGAACTTTTAAACATTTATAAAATATAGACAATTAATGACATGTAATAAGATTTTTTTATAAAAAAAAACACATTTGATTCATTAAAACAAGAGATTTAATTATGATCAGCAAGTTACTGTCATCTGGGACATACGATATATCGTATGTTCCAGCTGTCATACTGCTGGAATCGGGGAATTATTACCGGAATCGGCCAGTAATTTTATTTATGAACTTTTTAAGAATTATTAAATACAAACAATATGAATGACATGTACAAAGATTTTTATAAACAAAATCACGCTTTATTAATTAAACTAGATCAGCAAGTTACTGAACTTACTGTCATACTGTCGGAAGGATTGTTATTCGGGTAGTTTGGCAGTAGCTCGCCGATATTAGATCTCTTGTTAAATTAATCAAAAGCGATTTTATTTACGTTTTTTTACATTTCATTGATATTGTATAAAGATGCAAGAACCTTTTTTTTAAATCTTCATTAATAACCAAATTATTATACAGTATGGCAATAACTCGCCGATATTAAATATCTTGTTTAATTAATCATTTATCAATGAGATTTTATTTACAAAAATCTGATTACATATCATTGATATTGTTTATATTTAATCAAAGATGAAAAAATATATATACATCACATTAAAAAAATATTGTGTGTTTATTTGGGATGTTCGCGGAAAATGTCATTATTAATTCAGTGTCATAAGCCAGAGACATAGATGACTACATGTATATATCATAGTCCTTAACTTTAAAAGGATCTTCTTCCATTTTTTATTAATAATTAAATGGGTCAAACGGTTAGAAATTATGCTAAACTTTGAAAAAGAATCTTTAGATCTATACAGGGTGTTTATATTGTTGTTTTGTTTTTACATTGACTAAATCTTAAGTCTTTAAAAATTACGAAGTTCAATAAATCCTATGACTTATTTCATCTACAGCTTGCTGAACAACAGGCATTCTCTAACAGATAGTCTCTCCCACTATGAAATATATCAGCATACCGTATATTGGCACCCCACTGTTTTGTAGTATATCACACTTCCCAATACACAGCTCCCAATATACAGCTCGTTTACTTCCAATAAAGTGACAGTATCATCTGTGCGTATATAGTTAACATCCATATCTCACTGTTTTAAACTTTACGGGTATAGATGATTTGTTTACTATTTAAGACTAAATAATCTATGTTTCAACGATTGACTTATTCGCAATCTTTGTAATATTTTATGGTGCACCAATAACGCAAATTTATGACGACAATTGATTTGATACTCAAGAATGACCATGAACTGTCAAGTAACTGCCTGGTAAAACATTGATTTCATGTAAATATTATTGCATGTTATTATAAATCGACTACTTTATGAAATCAAGAATTGAGTTTTGCAAACATAAAGAAAGAAAGACAAAACTGACCTATTGTTATCCGTCATTTCAAACAATCCTCTGTTAGCAATGTCCTGAAAAAATATAATGTAAAGACGATATTGCATTATTCCATAAAAGATCAATGATAATGTTTGTAAATACATGCAAAAATAAATGATAATAATAATATTGAGTTCACATTCATAACAAAATTAGAACCGATTCCAGTAATCCTAGACGAAGTGAAGCCGATTCCGGTAATCGCTCGTCGATTCGGTAGTATGGAAGAAATCATAGATCACCTTGTTTATTATGTAATAGCAATTGCAATAAATATTTTCAAATATCATTTGAATTGTTTGTATGGCAAGATATTTTTAAAACGCTGAAATATAACCAAAAAAAAACAGACTAATTCCGGTATTTACCTGTTTATTCAGGCACTGTGATAGTAATTAGTCTATCTTAGATATCTAGTTTATAGTAAAAAAGTGATCTTTATTTCTCAAAAAAATCTTCGTAAATCGATGATATTATTTGCATTCAATAAAATAACATAAAAATAACTATATTACAGGCTGATTCCGCCCATCCTTCCCCTATATCGGCAGAATGACAGTAATTCGCCGATCTTAGGTCTCTTGTTTTATTAATCAAAAGCGAATTTATTTACAAAAATGAATATCGTTGAAAATGTTTATATCTTATAAAAATATGCAAAAAAATATTCAAAAAAATCACAAATAACCAAATTACAGGTCGATTCCGGTAATCTATCGCCTATTCCGACAGGTTTCCCGTTTTTGCCGATCTTCAATATTAATCTTTTTATTATTTATAACAGCAATTTTTCATAAATCTTTTGCTTCTTATTTAATACCGATTTCAATAAACATTATAAAAAATCTTTTAAATTGTTTGTATTTAATAAAATAAGTCAAGGTTATTTTTTAAACGTTGAAATATTGGTGGGAAAAACAGACCGATTCCGGTAATTGTCCGATAGCCCTGGCACTGCATATAATTATGCGGAATTATGCGATATGGCAGTAATTCGCCGACCTTAGATCTCTAGCTTATTATTTAATAAGGATTCTTCATTTTCAGAAATCTTTTTAGATATCTATTATATTGTTTGCATTTTTTTCTTGCAAAGTCCATAAATTACAATAATACAGGCCGATTCCGGTAATCATTCGGCTATTTCGGCTGTATGACAGTATATGTAACTCGCCGATCTTCGATCTCTTGCTTTATTAACCAAAGGCGAATTGAAATTTACAAAATAAAAGAATGAAAGAAACTTTTAAATATCATTCATAATATTTATATTTTATAAGACGAATATTAACAATGCAACAGAAACGTTAAAAATGTACAATAGACTAAATTATACGTCGATTCCGGTAATCCTTCGCCGATTCCGACAGTATGGTAGTAACTCGCCGATATTAAATATCTTGTTTAATTAATAAAAGTGATTTTATTGACAATAATCTGATTACATATCATTGCTATTGTTTATTTAATATCAAGGGTGCAAACATTTTGTTTAAAGTATAAAGATAAGCAAATTACAGGCCGATTTCGGTAATCCTTTGCCGATTCCGGCAGTTTGCCCGTTTTCGCTGATCATAAATATTTGTTTATTATTATTATTTAAAAGCGATTTTTTTCACAATCTCTAGGAAGATTAATGATAATATTTAGGTTTTATAAAAACATGCAAAAGGAACATTAAAAGTTGCATAACACAACGAAATAACAGGCCGATTCCGGTCACTGGCAGTTTGGCAGTAGCTCGCCGATATTAGATCTCTTGTTAAATTAATTAAAAGCGATTTTATTTATAAAAATCTTTTCATAAATCATTGATATTGTTTATATTTTATAAAATTGCAAGAAAAAACTTAAAAAGTTTAATTATTACAAAGTTACAGGTCGATTCCGGTAATTCACCGCCGATTCCGGTCGATTCCGGTAATTCGGCCGATTCCGGTAAGTCGTGTAACCCCAATTTTCATGAAATTTTGTTGTGATTAATGCTTCCGAGGGATTACCTTGTTTCCAGATTTTTTTTCTGTTCACTGTTATTTTATTGAGAATAAATTAAATTTAAGAAAAATGTCGACTTACCCAGCATGCTATACTATATGTCGTTGGATTTGAAACAGTAGGGTCGGTATTATATGTGTGCACGTAAACACTCGAGCCGGATGTGACGTAATGTAAGGCTAGCAGATTATTACCACCTGAAAAGATAATTCTTATACGTGTACATTTATATAAAAAAATATACTTACAAATATATGTTAAAATGAAAGTCATACGGACAGATTCGATGCAAATTTAAGGTCTATTAAGGAGTATATCAAATCTTTCACGGGCATATGTATAAGTAAAAAACAAAATAAATATTAGATTGTTCTGTTCTGATTGTTTTAGTACATGTACTTTACGAATAATTACATGTTGTATGTCTAGTTATTTGTAACATTTTAAATAATTTGAAAAACCAGCATATTTTACATTAAATACAATGAAATTTATTTTTCAAATAGCTTATAGAATAAGTATTGTTAACTGTATCTGATCTGTATAAAAAATTGTTCATATACGCGGACAGAAAACTCACTTGTAAAAGCAAGGCTTGTATTTGAGTCTGCATTATTGAAAACCATAAGAGTCTTATTGTCGCAGGAGTCCATGTCCGAACCTGTGACCGTGTTGCCATCTATGTCGGAATATTCGACGCTATAGTTCCCGAGAATAGCATCGGGATAGTTAACGCCGGCGGCTGTCTCGGAACCTGAAGTCAGAAAGTCGTATAGAACAAATTATCACAACGCTCATAATAAATTAGACTATTAATGGAAATGATAATTTTAATTAAAGCGTTACTATTTTACCATTTAGACTTTAATGTAAAATGAGCATATTAAATAATGTCAATAACAAGAACTGCCGTGAGGAAGCGCGCTCGACTATTCTCAGTGATTGACAAGAAAGAAAAGGGGCACAACTCTATAAAAAGGTAATTCAGAGTTAAAGGATCTGTACCCATTATTAAGGATAACAAAAGAGAACAAGTGTATACAGTTTCAACCTATTCTCTTCTGTAGGTTTGGAGATACCAACTTGCACGGACACAAAAGTGATTAATATAAGTTGCAAGAACATGTTTTGCAATCGAGCTAAAATAATTTTGATTAAACTATACCGAGGTTATAGAAGTACCTTATTATACACACAGAGGGAAGGGAAGAACTCTATAAAGTTTTACAAAGTAAATAAAGATTATACTATACCACTTTGAAGAACAATATGTGTATTAATGGCAGTTTCAAAGTTCGAGTTTGTACATGCGCTACTTATATCGCTTGTGAATTGCTCGCCTGTGTTCGAATCCGGTGCTGCGGGTAATTTATATATATAAATGATAAAACATTGAAATATTATTTCAAATAAATTCTTGTATCGCCAAAAGCATCAAAGTTTTGTTGTAACTAAAATATTTTTTCTTCACGGACATAATTTTCTAGTTTCCCACGGTGATACATTATTGTAAAAAGTAGGTGGCCGAATGGTCAAGTTCATTAACTTAAGACCACATGTCTCACAACTCTGAAAGTTCGAACCCCACAAGGGAATTCGGATTACTTTAAATGAGGAAGCTTTCCGGCTAGCTAACGGAACGTCGGTGGTTCTACATAGGTGCCCATTGAGTCTAAAATAAGCATGGAGGAGCACTTGATATATAACTGTGCGAGATACGGTCATAATAAAACACCAATAAACAGGACCTTTATTTAAAGACACATTATGCTTCAGACACGAATAAAATTTTCATTCTTTATATAGACCAAACATGGGTTTCGTAACGATTAGATAATGGAAGATGATTGTTTTCGGGCAAGTACAGCTATATTTTGATTCCATACAGAATACTAAATCACTATGGTTTTACAAAATGCAAAAGAGCAACAGAAGCAAAAGATGATTCAGGAAACAGGCCTATGAGTAACTTTTTAGAACTTTAAAAGAATACTGAAAATGAAAAGCTTTTGAAAAGCGAAAATAAAAACATTTCTGATGCATAATGGGCCTTTAAAGTATCTTTAAGAAAAATCAGTATACTTACGCGTGACAATATAGTACACATAACTGTTGGGAGACACTGCTGTTGTACGTATATCTAAACATGTGTACACATCAATAAAGACAGCGAAAAATATTTCAAACCTCGTTCTGAAATATAAAAAGGAAGCTTTATTTAAAAATAGTGGTAAATTATTGATATTTTTAGGGGAGTCTATTGTACACATCAATAAAGACAGCGAAAAATATTTCAAACTTTGTTCTGAAATATAAAAAAAAATGGAAGTTTGATTTAAAAATAGTGGTAAATTATTGATATTTCAAAGGGGAGGCTCAATTTCTGGCTACATTTGCCGTTTCATCCGCCAATACATGACATAGACTCATTTGTCGAAAATAAATCGTAAATTTAAGTGAAAACATAATTCTACAAACCGAAGATTGAATCTTACCCGAGAATATACTGCGTCCCGGAACTACTTTTACAGTCGAGCGTGGCTGTAGTAAGTGACCTTGAAAGGTCAGCTTTAAAGTTAGATATGGTAGAAAAGGTACCATCATCTGACACCGTCCACGTGCCGCGTGTGCTTGATACCCATGTCCCAGCTGAGAGAGGCAAGAGACATCCTTCCACTAAAAATATCCAGAATTAAACATATCATTATCAAATACGAGTACCAATCTAAACAGCTTTATTGAGACACTTGTCTTTACTTTAAATATGATTAAATATTATCATATAGTTCATAAGAAAATAAATACTTCCATCTTCCTGTTAGATAACAAGTTAAGCTTAAACTTTTCATCTTTTAACTAACATAGTTCTGTTGTGTTTAACTAACATAGAGAAGTATGTGCAAAATATGTATTGGATTTTCTCTAATATTTTTGTGATCGTTTTAAGAGTGTGATTTTCTATCTTAACTGGAGAAATAAAAGCTTACATGGTTCTTGTGCATTATTTTAAGCTCCTTGAGTAGAACCATTGACTTTTCGCAAGCAAAAATGTCGAATTTTAAAGTTATTGATATAGTATTTTATAAATACATGTACGAGGAATGATCCACAAATACCCGAAGTTAAGCCATAATTTGAAATCAGATGATATACAAGAACCCACTATGAAAATTAAAAAATGGTAGAGGGAGTATTTCGACGACATGAAGACATTACAATCACTTGTAAATTTGGTTAGTACATGCATATAAATAAGCAACAGCAATTAAGGTGTTATGGCTTTCCTTTTAAATTTTGGTTATGTGTTGGATTTTTTTAAGTCACACCGACATGGTAGTGGTCATATTATGGTGACTGTCCCGTTTACTGGGGAACGGAGACTTCAGTTGCCCGTCCGTGCTTTTTCAGACACGAGCGAGCACCCTAGTAGAACCATTGACTCTCAGTAAGCCAGCTGGATAGTTTCCTTACATAAAACTATAGAAAGTCCATGGTGGGATTCGATCACGTAGCGGTATTTAAGTTCATGAATAAATTAGAACAATAATATCTAGGAAATAAAATCAGTAGATAATTATTCATATCGGACTGACTTAACCAAATAAATTCGAACCATACATTGAAATGTAAAAGATATAATAAAGATTATATCTTTTTCACTTAATTAAACTCAATTAAAGATCAAATAAAACTTACCTCCTATTCAAAATAAAACATCATGCTGACAGACCTACCTGATAGTATTGTAAATAATCCATGAAATAGTGATAAAATAATTAATTTGTCCATGTTTTCTCCATTAAAAATTTCATTGGTCTATATCCTAAGGAAACGTATACTGACCCCCCTTAAATGTGTTGCTATTTAGTTGACGTTTTTATCATTTTATTTGTCGGCACATATTTATAAAATAAATCAATAATGGTCATTAAATAACTATTAAGAAAAATAACAGCCTATGTTCAAGGACATTTATATTTGACATGAAATCTATTATTCGTATTTGTTATTTAGTTTTGCTTAAACCGATACAAATAAAAGTTCGTTTACAGGACTTCAAATATTTCGCACATTAGATAACGCTTCTTGATGGTGCAGATTATTAATGCCTACCCGCGCGAGTAGTGTAGTTAAGAGAGTTGAAGAAAATGGAAAAGGTTTTAAGGAGAATTGAAGAAAATGGAAAAGGTTTAACAGGTATTTTTTTTTTCATTATGTCATAGTTAAATCATGTATAAGCAGAATGAAAACTGTAAAACAGATTTTTCTAAACGTTTTTTTAACAATATCTTAAAATATGTATTATGATATCATAAAAAATACAATCACGGAAAGGGGTCTGTTTTCAAGTAATCTGCCATTTCTTTTCTTGTCAGTTAAAGGACAGATAACTTAATCCTTAGTCTCACACACCTCATTTATACAATTGATAGAGGATAAAGAGACGACGATGACAATTCTTTAATAATGGTATTTGAAAAAAGGGCAAAGATAAGGATATTGAAACAAACTACTTTTCACTAATTACTAATTACGTTTGACAGGAAATCAGCTACATAATAAAAAGTAGAAAAATAAGACTATATGATTATCTTTTTTTTTTGTAATAAGCAGGTTCTAAAACAAGCTCAATGTTTCCCATTTCTCCTCGTTATATGTTTTTGATACTCTTAAAATATTTAAAATGTCCTGTAGGCTATTCTTCATACTGTACAATGTTACCTTCTTAGTTATGAAATAGTGTTTGTATAAGAACAATGTAACCTTCTTAGTTATGACATAACATTTAATTTTCATTGACATTATAAATTTCCATTGTTCCGTTTAGCATCAATATTTTTTCACATTAAAATATTTGATGTTATGCTAAACAATACTTATAGAAATTTGATAGTAATAATATAGATTTATGGCTGTATACCAGAGTAGGCAATTTCTTGTTTGCAGTTTGTGTAGTTATTGAATGACAACGCCGTTTTATTCGTGCACATGTCCATAGTATCCTTCCACTGTCCCCGTACTTGTCATGTACTTATAGTCCGCTGAGAATAACAATTTGTCTGGGAAAGTGATTGCAGCAGAGTCGGCCATTCCTATAGTTCATCGAAGTATATGTTATTGATATTCAAATATTCAAATAAATATCCAATGATGGAATACGCCAGAGCAATTGATAGACGTAATATGTATGTTTTTAAGTTAATCATACAAGAAAAATATAAACAAGCAAATACCAGTAATGTGTGAAAGCCTAAATTTCAAACCATGGTCAGACAAGAATATACATAAACAAGATTGGTAAATATACATATTTATTTGCACAATCAATAACTCCAATGTTATCTTTAACTGTTATTTAGTATTTACTGGTTATGCACAGATAGTCCTGCTTTTTTTTGATATTGAATTGTTCCTAGTTTGTTCCTCTAGATGTAAGGTAAAAAAGTTGGCCTGAGCGAAAGGATATACGACTACTGTAACTCTAGACTTTGAGATAATTGACTAATAACTTTCGTTTAAACAGGGTTTAAATATACTTACTCTATCCATGCACATTTGGTAAGAAGGAAATGTAAAATCTGTAATAAAGAATAGAAGCAGAAAATAAACCGTACGAATTAATTTGTATTCTGTAGTTTTAAAGAATTGAAACCGTTGTCATAAGATGTTTCACAAGAACGTGGAACTCTAGGGTCGGTATACTAACTGACGTATCACATATTGCACTATCAGCTGAGAACCATAACCGCTCGTATCCAGCGTTCGGTTGTTGAACTAAAATTTTATTATGCATTTAATATTCTTTTTAAGTAAAAGTTAAAGTTTATTGGTACGTATTTACAAAATTAAATTGGTCAGGCGCGGCGCATTCGCGTGATCAATTTTATTTCGTAAATACGTACTAATGAATTTTAAACAGCTTAAAATTTTTATAAACAGTCGATTTACTAGACTGATTAACAGTTTGCCGGTTTACCAAATACTGCAAATTTATTGGACAAAAAACAAATTTCAAACACTAAAGGCACATTATGCCACAAAAATCAATATTTATTGAATACTTTAGAAATGTCAAACATGTGTTTATTTGTGTTAAAATAATGGATTTAAGGCATGTTAGATGTTGAACAGGTTGAATCTGCAGTAATGTGTCGTAAAGGTAAAAAATCTAAACAATGTAGTATTTTGATTTCCATGCAAAATGCTAATTCATTATAATTATACCAATTGCAAACCAATTTTCCAATTTCCAATTTTATTGCATGAAACATTATACAATGTTTATAGCAAATTAACAATATAAACATATATACATTATACCAATTGCAAACAAATCAAAAGAAAAAAAGATAGTTCGTCTATATAGCCAAAAAGTACATTTTCTCATTTTGGAAACGGTAATAAGATACCAAACATTTTAAGTTTTTGTGAAATAAAAATGATTTTTATTAGTATTTCTTGAGCATAATGAACCTTTAAAAAAAGAAAACGTGAAAATTATAATACAAATAATACAACAAGATTATGTCAGTGCATTAAAATGTTATATCAAAAAAGGGTAATTTATAAATCAAGACATAAAAGATAACTCGTGTGAAGAAATAATTTAAATACAATAAAACAGGGAGAAAAACATATACAAAAACATAATAATTGTTTATTTAATTAATGATTACATACATTTCATTTACTATCTTCCAGTTTATAAGTGAAACAGTTTATTGTAATCCTATCTAATTATGTTCCACTACATACCTTGTTGTAACTTATAACTGTAAGTAAGTAAGTAAGTAAGTAAATATTTTATTATAGTGACATGTGTATGACAGTTTACAAATAACGAAATTAAATAATTTAACATAACACCCGGCCCAATGGACCAATAAGTCACCTGAAACATATATTCATTATGAATAGTTCATATGAAATTACTATACTGTACACATCATCAATATTGATGGATAAATATTCCAACGATTAAACAAAGATTTCCCCTTTTTAGATAAGCATTTACAAGGTATTTAGCAACTTTTTGTGTAAATTTACAACAAGATATTTCATTTTCATATCATCGTTCATCTTCATTAAATCTGCATTCATAAATTGTTCACTAAAACTGTCTACTATGATGTTGTTGTAAAAGGGACATACGATTAAAAAGTGCTTTTCAACTTGCATATATTATATATCATATTCTATTTTATTATCATTTTATTTTTTTATTGTACAAAACAAACAAATTCTCTGCTCTGGTGTTTCACTTATATAACGTCCAGTTTCAATCCTTAACGGTAGAATGCCACACCTAAATTGAGATAACATTGATCTTTCATTTTTATTCAAATTTAACTGTACATATTTTTCTGTTATAAAATTGTCCTTAAGGGTAACATAGGTTCGTAATTTCGGTACTTTTTGTATGTCAGTTTTCCAAATATCCGTATAATATTGAGTTATCCTGGTCTTAACGTAATCTAAGCTTATAACGGTTTTGTTCTCAAAATGACTGACCAAGTTCAATTTTGTCATAACTGTTTTAACGTCACTGCACCAATTATTACTGCATTTATTGTAGTCCATGTTGAAGACGCGTTTAGTAATCCTATTATCATTGAATAAAATAAGCCTATTCCAATATCGTATTATTGATACCCAACGGCGATAGTTACTTGGTAGCCATCCCGTGTCTCCAGTGAGTGCAAGTTTTGGGGCGAAACGGTGAACACCGAGATAATAGCGTATAGCACGGTATTGTATATTGTCTATTGATTGGTAATGTTTGAATCCCCATACAGAAGCACAATAGTCTAAGATTGGTATCACACATGATTCGAACAGTTTTGTAAATGATTTATATCCACAATCTTTATAGTTATGAATTTTAGAAATAATATTTCCCAATGCACGACCAGCACCTTTTGCCAAAGCTTCACAGTGATATGAAAAATCCCCTTTATCATTAAGAACAACACCAAGATACTTATATCGATCCACTGTTTCGAGAATATTTTCACCTACATGGAAACTAAATGTAGTCTGCACAGCACGAGATTTTCTAAAATGCATGCACTTGCTTTTCTCTGTATTTATAAGCACACGCCACTTTTTACACCAGCAATGTAGTACATTAAGCATGGCTTGTAAATTTTCTTCGTTTTCGGCTATCAAACATATATCGTCTGCGTATAAGAGAATAGATAGTTTTGTGTCATCGTCGATGCTGACCCCAATGTCAAGGTCGTTTATTTCTTTTACCAGGTCATTAGCAAATATCGCGAAAATTGTTGGCGATAAATTGTCTCCCTGCTTGAGGCCATTGTCACATGAGAACCATTCTGTTAGTTTATTGTTAATACGGACACATGACGTAGATTGAGCATAAATACTTTTGATTGAGATGTACATTTTACCATCTATGTGATTGAGGAGTAACTTATAGAGCATCATATCTCTATCAATAAAGTCAAAGCACTTTCGCAAGTCAATAAATGCTGTAAATATTTTGTCATTATTACGAACGATGCTATTCAGTGTGAAGACATGATCTTCACATGATCGATTTCTTCTAAATCCATTTTGCTCATCCGCTAAAATGTCATTCTGTTATAAAAATTTCGTTAAGCGTTTATTCATAAATGAGCTGTACAGCTTACTGACACATGACAACAGGCTAATACCTCTGTAATTCATTGGTAAACGTTTATCTGACGAACTGTCCTTTAAAATTGGACAAATAATAGCTTTTCGCCAGCTAGACGGTATTATGCTAGTATCAAACACTAATTGAAAGAGTTGTTGTAAAACTCCTATAACAGGGGGGAATTTAAGTAACACTATAGGAATTTTGTCATATCCGGTGGCAGATTTTTGATTTCGCATGCATAATGATGCTAGTTATTTCATCAATAGTAATATTACTATTCAACACTTCGCTTGCTCATATATAATGGATCATTCAAATTGTTTTCAATAAGAAAGTTTGTGTGTTTTTGCTTGAATGTAATGGGTATCATCAAATGCATCCTGGTCCTGGTTTGAACATGCGTATAAATTCTGAAAGTCTATCCTCCATTTCTCAAATACTATATCCTCATTATTTATCGGGACGCCATTACTATCAATTATTTCAATAGGTATAGCAGTGTCTTTCTAGGGCCTAAACGTTTTATTATTTCCCAGAAATCTTTGGGATTGCTTGAGCACATATCTTCAATTTCAGTAGCCATAGTTCTCCTGTATTCGCGTTCACTTCGTCGCAGCACTTTATCAAACTCATTTCTTGATTCAATGTACTCGCGTCGTAATACCGTTTTGATGTGTCGATTCCCTGTGCATTTTAGGAAAATCCGTTCCTTATTGTGCATAATATTCCAAAGTTCTGTTAATGTTTGATTCCAATAAGGTTTTTTGGTGCGAAGTCTTTTATTTGTACATTTTGATGCACTATATTTCGGTATTTGTGATTTCATTTCCGTAATGATAACGTCACATAGATTTTCGTATATCAAGTCAATATCTTGTTGGTTTTCTCGACAGCGTTCAATTTGTGAAATAATTTCTAGTAAAGCTAATCTAGATAACTCGTTATTTCATAAAGTCTTCGGGTATTTTGTGTAGCTTTAATCGTGCACTATTAATTTCCGGATATTTTGACTGTTCATGTGTGGGTTGATAGACAGACAACCGTAATTCGGTCAATAGAACGCAATGATCCGGTAAACGTGATCTCACTCCTAATAACCCGTGAAGACTGTATTTTCAACAATAGAATTTGACAGTTACTGTCTGGAAATTTAAAACAATTATGAAAAAACATCGTGCGGTACACACATATAGTCCACTACTGCTTTACCTTTACGGGATATAGAGGTATAATTATCATGTGATTCGTCGAATCTACCGTTAAGGACGCAACATTTGGCTTCGTTTAAGAATTCTAGCAACTCATGACCATGCTGTGTTAGGCCACATACAATGCTGATTAATAGATTTATCTATAATTTTTCGTTTAGGAATGGTATCAATATCGTCCAATATGTCGGATAGGGATCAAATACGGGAATTAAAGTCTGCCGCTATAATTATACT